GCCACAAAGTTTCAATCGCACTGTACGTGCGCGCCCGCATGTGTTATTTTGTGGAAGAGCCACACTCAAGGGGCCAAAGAGCTGCATGTGGCTCATGAGCCGCAGTTTGCCGACCACGGGCCTAAGCTAATGCTAGCAGTCATTGGTGTGTGGGTTACTTACAGTCTCCGGCCTGTGTCCTATGATTGATCTCATGTATCTTAGCTCCTGCTTCTGTTGGTTCTAGGATTTCTTACTTTCAGAATGTGTTCATACCTGTATTACTTTCCCCTCTGTTTCCGATTTTTAATAACAAACCTCCTAGAAGCTCTTCTTTATGACATGCTTCTACTTTGTAGAGAAAAATTAGCAAGCTTTACCTGGGTGTTCGTCTTTCTCAGTATTCGGCTTCTGTGACACTTCTAAGACACCCACGTGACTCGACACGGGTTGATCTGAATGGCCAGGCTCCTCAGGAATCTGCATTTTGAGATCTTCTATGTTCTCTTGTGGGAAATTATCTTCCAGCGGTGGCTGTATCTCTATGGGGAAGAATGCACTGTGCGGGCAAAGCTTGCTGACTCCCCCTGAACTCCTCCCTCTGAGCAGCACCCCATCACAGCCCTGGGGCAACCCCCTCTGCCCTCCGAGTGCCGGCAGCTCATGGAGCACAAGTGGGCAGGAAATTAAGAGTTTCAAATGATTCGATCTCACTTCAAAGATAGCTAATCTACATAGTAAAATGTACAAAGAAACCCTTCTTCCAAAATAAATACATAATTAAATGTATTTACAGTAGGGACGTCAATAACCTAATGTCCTCTGGCCACACAGATAAATGTGCAAGAGAATCCAGTCAAGAGCAAAACTAGGACATGTCTCTTCGCTACATAGTAAAATGTACAAAGAAACCCTTCTTCCAAAATAAATACATAATTAAATGTATTTACAGTAGGAACGTCAATAACCTAACGTCCTCTGGCCCACACAGATAAATGTGCAAGAGAATCCAGTTAAGAGCAAAACTAGGACATGTCTCTTCAACACAGAAATGACATGAACTCTCTCATACACAAGCACGCCTATCTCGGAGCCAGCACAGAGAAGGGCGTTACATACAAAGGCAGCTTGCTGAAGTGCCTTCCAATATTGTCAAAGCACCTCTAACGGTCAAAGAGAACCCATTTCCATCCCTAAGAGGCTCAGAGCATAGCCCAATGTGTGACCACAACAGAGATGGATTTCTTTCAAACCTCAGAATCTACCCTGAAAATTCGAGTTTTACATTCTAACCCAATACGTATCTGCTTTCATGAAATGCAAAGGTGGTCCCTTGCCCAAATGCTCGGGGAAATTGGCATCTGGGGAGAAACATTGACCCTGTGCCTTCCTGTCCGCCTGGTTCTCCTCCACATACCCTCAGTTCAAATCCCTGAGTTTGAAAAGCATGGGGGGCAGAGATGAGGGCGTGGAACTCAGAAGCAGCTTACGTCAGGACACTGGCTCAGGGCCAGTTCGACCACTATTTACTCGATGGCTTCTGTGTCAGCTGCTGTGTTAGACTTTCTCTGCATCCTCGCTCAGTGCTTGGCCAATCCGAATGCATGAACCCCAGGGCCCAGTAGAATTGACCTGACCTTGGTGATTGCTCCCAACAGGCAGAAAGAACACGACATCCACCAAAGATGCAAACTGGGAAATGACATCCCTCAGGCAAGGCATCGACTGAAAAGTTAGGCCACTCAATCCTTGTTCCTACTGCAGTTATTTTATGATTGAGAAACTGTGTTCCCAAAAGTGCTTTCATAATTTCACATGGAACTTATACTTGGTTAACAGGTCTATTTTGTGCATCTTTTTCTCGTTTGCATCTTTATCTTTTTAAAGTTTCCTTTTGAAAGCGCTACCATTCTCAACTGTTCTAAGGAGAAAACAGTAAGAAATCCTTATCCGTGCCTGAAAAAAGGCAGGAAGGGACGTGTGGACGTCACTGTGCTGCCTCTTGCCTTTAGACATGCTGTCAGCTGTGGGCAGGGCTTTACAAATAAGGTATAAGGCCCTTCAGCGAACCCCCAACCCAACTGGACAAAGCCACAGGCAGGTACTTACCTTCCGCTGGTCCCCCCCAGCCTCCCTCTGGAGGCTGTGTCGTTGCCAGTGGTCCAGTATCCTCCCCTGTGGAGTGTGTGTACCTGACAAAATAGATCAGGTCTTGAACATCGTCTAGCACTGCAGCCTCTTCAAGAATGTTACGTTCTTCCATTCCCGAATCTCTCCATTCGGTCACAAGAGCATCGAGCATTTTCTCTGCTACGTTCAAAATCTGTGACTCAGACGCCCGGAAGACCTTATCCAGGACTTTCTCCACGTTGTAGGGCAGGCTGTCCCGCTGTGCCGACTTCAGCTTTCGCGACATTTCTTGGAGCATGGCTTCCAGCTCGTGGACATCAAAGTACTTCTGGAACCGCTGCAGAGACTGCTGCTCCTTAAAGAAGCTGCTTATGATAGGCAGGTCCTCCCTGTGGGCGCTGTGCTCTGGCTTTGCGGTTGTGTGTGCAGCCCCGGGGACGTCGCCTTCACGTGCCTCAGCAGCAGCCCCCTGGCTCTGTGTGTCCATGAACTTCTGTGTGTCCTCCTGGCCCGCTTTCGAGAGCTCTACCCCAGGCTTCGCTGCGAGCCCCGAGGTCTTCGGGTCTTCCTCAGGGTTGTCTTCTTTAAGATAACCAGGGTCTTGACTCCGAAGTACTTCATCTAACTCCGGAGTCTGATATTTTCTCTTGTCAGGAAAGTCACTCCCTTCAGATGGTCTCTGTGCTTTCTTACCTGCAGGAGGGCTTTCTTCTGTTTCTACCTCCGGGCCACCAGGTTCCTTGCCTAGCGTGCCTACCCCTCTGCCCTCAGTTTCATTTTTGCTTTCAGTTTCCAAAATATTACTAGTGTTTTCTTTGTTTTCTTCAGTTTCTACATTAGTATTTATGGCGTCGAAAATTCCACTTCCAGAGACTTGCGGATTAACATCTAACTGCCTGTCCTGCATCTCAGGGCCTTTTTCTTTAGACTGTTTTGCACTTACAGCATTTTCGTCCTCCAGCAGTTCTTCAGCGCTGGAATCGTCATCCTCTGCCTCTGGTTGTTCAGGATGGAAACCTGGTACTTCTGAGCTATCAGTCTGGCCTGCTATTTCTGCTTCCGGAGTGCCTGGCTGTGGATGAACAAGCTCTTCACTTAAGGTGTCCCCTGTGACCTCTTCCTCATTCAGCCTTGTCTTCCCCTTCACTTCCTTATTAACTGCAGCAGCCACATCTCCTGGCTGCCCGGACAAATTTCTTCCCAGAATGGAACCCTCATCTTCCAGTTCTGCTGACAAACCAATTTCATCGGGAGAGGAGAACCTAGGTTGATTTTGAGTTTTAAGAAGCTGTTCCTCTTTAAATTCCTCACTTGGATGCTCCGCTGCGGGCATGTGTTGTTCTGGTCCATTTCCGGAAACATCTATTCCCTTCTCCACACTGTCTCTGGATGCATTATGCTCATTATCTCCCAAGAGCCGTGTACCATCCATGGCTTCCTGTTTAATCTTTTCTTCCTTCATTTCATTCCCTGCAGCTCTATGTTTCCATACATTCACTGAGTCACCTTCCGAAATCTGTTCTCCAGGCTTCTCTTCATGAGCCATTCCTTTTGAGATATGAACAGCTGCTCCTTTTAGGTCATTTTCTTTGTTATAAAAGGCTGATTTTAATATTTCTTTACCCTTTTCAGTAGCTGGCAAAGAGTTGAGGTTACTGCTTTGCATAGAACCAGGCAGAGTCCTGTCTTCTTTCTTTCCATCCTCCAATCCTTTCTTACCTTCCACCAGGTCCCTGTTGGATTCCTCAACAGTCCTCCCTTTTCCTTTAATATGAAGTTCTGTGTCCATTAATGGGTTTTTGTCATTGTTTGTTTTAGGAACTTCTACAATCAAAAGACCATCCTCTGCCTTTTCAGGGTCATTATCATCTGCTGCTGATTGTGGTTTCCCCCATTTGCTGTCTGGGATTAATCCATCCTCACCTTCCTCTTCTTCCGCTGAATCAGAACTCTCAAAATCCATACCTGTTTGCTCTTCACCTTCTGTGACAGCAGAGAAGACAGTATCCTCCAAAGTTGTTCGTATATTTTTATCACCCTTTTTGATGCCAAGGGGCTGAGTTATTACCTCCCCCTCATCCTCTTCACTTGAATTCTGCTCTTTATCGGTTAAATATTTCTCAACTTCAGATTCCACTGGCATTTTCAAATCCTCTCCATCTGTGAAGGTTAGTAATGGCAACTCATCAAAGTCTTCTTCATCTTCTTCCTCTTCGTCCTTCCCAACTACGTAGTACTCAGCATCTGATTCCTCATCAAAATCGTCTTCTAAGGAAGTAACGAGCCTGGTTGTCTCGTCATCAGACACAAGTGCATCAGCAGTTGAGCCAAATTTGGTTTTCAAGTCCACAGTCATTTCTTTTTTCAAAAGTTTATAAGCATCAGTCTTCTGCTCGTTGGAGAGCTGAGAGCTATTGCTGGCTGTGTTGTTTTCACTGGCTGACACGGTTAAGTTATCTCGAAGCATTTCTTCCAGCGGTTCCGATGAGGATTGTTCTCCCTGAGGGTGATTTCTTTGACTGTTTACAGGGGGGTGGTTCTTCGGAGCCTCATGACGGTCCTGGAGTTCCTTGGTGCTTTCTGAGAAAACACTTTCTCTTTCTTCTGAGGTAGCTTGCACTGAATCAGTTTCAAGGTCACTTTCTTCAGGTACTTCAGGAGGCTCTTCCACAGGCTGAGAGGTTTTTTCTAGAGCTTTCTCAGAATCTCTAGTTGCAGAATTGTGCAAATCCAAAAATCCTAGAAGTTCTTCTATATTATAGTTATCAAAAGTGTCTCTTCCCCCATCAAAGCAAACAAAATCTGTCTCCTGGAAGGGAAAGAAAAACATTAGTGTATCCGTAGCCTGTGTCACAAGAGCAAACTCTCAGCCATGCCAATGACAGAGATAGCCTCAAGGTCATGTTTGGCTTAGGGGGCTTTTGTGCCAGCCTCGGGCAATGACTGTTCCTCCGTAGTCGGGAGATAGGAGGCCGGAACCCACTTTTCCCTGGCTTTCTGCTTCCCCAAGGAAATACTTTCACATGAATAATACTGCCGGCTTCCCTTCACTCTGTCTTCTCCAGGGGAGGGATGACTCAGGCAGCTGGTGAGTTTGCCCTGTTTTCTGTTTGGGACCAGCTGGAAGGAGCACACATCCTCCCTCTTCAATGCTGTCAGTTAGAGGGACATCTCCCCTGGGAATAACCAACCCGCCACCCCCTCCCCCTTCCTGAGCGATGCCTCTGGCTGTGTTAGTCTGTCTTATTCTAGACCGCAATGTCCGAAAGCCCCTTATTTCTGCACACTTGAAGCATGTTTGCCAAAAAACTCCAGCAATAAATAATGGTGACAATTTAGCCTCCATCTGCCTGACTCCTGGGTCTCTCAATGTGTTCTGAGCACAAAAGGTGAAAAGTGAGGTGTCAGTGATTGGGTCCCCCAACTTCCAACATTGATACCTGATGTCCTGGGAATTCACCACGTAATAATTTGTCTAGCTCCTCTGCCATCCGGCTTTCTAAGCTGAACCTCTCTGCTGACCCAGCCAGAACCTGGCAGAATCCCCTTGCTGTCGGTTGGCTCTGAGTCTACACGGATTTTGTCTCTTATTTTCCTTAGGTTGGGAAAGATAAATCAGCTCAAGACGTATCTTATTGAAATACAGGTGCACAGGAAGTAAAAATGTAAAGGAACAGAGAACGGTGTCAAGGGGGTTCCCACCTAATTATTACCACAAGGATAACTTGAAAACAAGTAAGGGATATACTCTAAATCAGGATTCTTGGTGTCATTAAAATCTGCTTTCAGGACTCTCAGTAATCCTATATTCTTCCTTTCCTCCCTTAAAAACCCTATGGACATAAAAGGGGCTACAAAGGGAAAAGTTAAAAAAATCAACAAAGATAATTTTCTTCTCCTAACTAAACTTTCAATTACTCTGGGGAGGTCTGACCAGTGTGGTGGGGATAAATTATATTTCCTTTTTCCATCGCATGCATTTCTAAGCCATTTGCTTAACTGAGGGAAGCATGCAAAGGTTGGTGCAAGGAGAAGGCAGATTCCCAAACAAGTGAGGTCCCTTGACCAAGGAACTGCTGTCTCCCACTTACCCCGAAGTCTCTTCATTCGGAGTGAGGCCAAACAGGCAACAAGGCTGATTTTATGACCCTTGGGATCATCAGGAACTTTTAAGAATAGCGATGGCTCTAAAACGTCACCCATTCTGCCACTCTCATCTGAGAGCTGCTCTTGGCCAGCAGCTAGCACACTCTGAAGCAACTCCAAAGAGCTGCTCAAAGACTTCTGAATGAAGGTGGGCATCAATTATTATACATTTTAAAACTGCAGAAATAATCAGCAGAATGAGGATCTCAGAACACAAAATCCTTGTCTTGACAAAGCTATTTTAAGTCAGTGCTCCCTAGAGGAGGGATTTATAGAATTGGTGCCATCGGTACCTTGTAGATTTGCGACAGGACTGCATCTGAAACTTGCACGTTCCCTTTTCCAAATCTAAAATGTAACTGTAATCCCTTAAGTCACTGACAGGTCAATGATAAGAAAATCCCTGTAAATCTGCATTTCTGACCTAGTACATAAATTAGGGTTTGATCAATTTAACCTGATTTCTATCTACGTAAACTATCTAATAGCTATTCCTTTTGCTTATAAAAAGAATTATCTCATTTTAATAACTAAATGCAAAGAAACTGAATTCTTAACTTTTTTCATAAAAAGTAACAAAGAAAAACCCTGTATGAGAGTACACAGCCTTGTATAAGATGTGCTTCAATGTAGATAACTATCAGATTATAAGTCTCCTAGATATTCTTTTCAAATTTTTCTTTTTTTCTATTTTTAAAGGTAACCTGATCCTAAATTAAAATCTGAAACACAAACATTAACTTTTTTTTTTTTTTTTAACCAAAACACATTCAAAGACTTAAAAAAATACAGCAGGTCCTTGAATAACATCTTGTTCAATGTCATTTCATTATCATGTTGTGAGATGCCATGGAAACGTAACTCTTGCTTATATCAATTAGCCTATGATAAAACTGGCTTTATGTCATTTTGCTTAAAGTCAAAGAACCCACAGAGGACATTAAGTGAGTACTTAATGTAGTTAACAACTGATGAATTTGTAAGCCAAATATAGGGTGTCCCAAAATTCACGCAAGATTTGCAATTGAATTGAATTGCAAATCTTGCATGAATTTTGGGACACTCTATAATGGAGAACCCCCCCCCCCAAAAAAAAATCCACAACTTACATCTGCTGGAATTTGTAGCTCTTCTTTCGTGTATTTATGGACTATCTGAAGTAAATCCTTTGGAAAATATCCAAAAATACGTCCAACCTATATAAAAAGAATGGGCAAAAGAAAAGCTATCAATCAAAATTCTGTACCAGAAATATAAATGAGAGAAATGTAAATGAGAGGAAATACACAAATGGACAGGTAGATATAATCACAGAAATACACAGTCACTATGATTAGAGATTTTTAATCCAATTAAAATTAAGTATATAATATTGCAAAGCCAACTTTTCTAAAACCACTTATGTTTTCTTTCAATACTCAGCTTAATGCTAAACACAGGGCACATAAAGTTAGGTTTTGAAGTAGATAAAAGATCTGCACAAGAGAAGATTGTTGTATATTATGTGATTGAAACTATGCAAATCAAAGCTGATTGGAAACACAATTCCATATAACCTCTGGCAAAAATTTACCTGCATGTTTCATAGCACTGCTCACAAACCAGTACTTATGTCTCTCTTAAACCAATAAACACCATTCACAAAAATTAATAAGTAAAAAATATAAAATTTCTGAAATGTACTGATCAACACAACAAAAGGCAAACAAATATTTATTGATATTTATGGGTTGTACTAGCTTTTTCAAAAACTAGACTTTCCAGGTATTTGGAAGAACATAAAATTCATACTAATCTACACATCATTTAGTTTTATGCAGAGTAAACCTCTGTAGAAGATGATCCCACTTATCTACAGCACTAGCAGCTAAGGTTATACTACAAAGCATGTCCTCTTGGGAAACATACACTGCCTGTTACTAGCTGCAGTCTGAAAGAGAGTGTTAGATCTCTTCCCAGTCATTCCAGAAGGAGGCTGATAGGTGGATCAAATGCACAAAAAGAAAACAAAAGGCTATCTTATCGCTAACTCCTAAAATATCCTCATTATGAGTGCTCTTGTTTTATCTGGCAACTACCTGAGAGCCAGTGTTGGTGGTGGAGTAGTGCCTTGGAGATTAGATAAGCCAGGGCAATTAAAAACTGCCACATTGGCAGCTGAAGTCTGAAATTCTAAGAAACCAAAAAAGACGGTAGGATGAAAACTAAGAAATAGAAAGAAGAATCATTTGAAAGCCAAGGAGAGAGAGTTTTAATTTCATAAAGTGTAAGGGCCACAAAATGAGAGAGGAAAGTGAGGGAAAAGATCCTTTTCTCCTTCTCAGGAAAATTTTATTTAGAGAGAATGTGGAAAAGGGGAAAAAATCAGATCTGTAGAGAAAGGAAATACATTTATCTTTGTGTTGTCTTTGCTGTATAAAACTTTATTTTTATACTGGGTGGGGTCCCCTTTCTTATGATCTGACCCCTCCCCAAAATGTTGCAGAATCATGGGCCCTTGTAACCAGAAATAATTTTTATAATTGGTTTCCAACTATCATCCCTGCCAGGGAACTGCTAATGATTTGATTTGGGGCGGGGGGGAGCAAAATATTTTTTCAAGAGAACAAATTCTGCATAGCTACTATGCGAACAAATGTCAACGTCACCGCCCTGAAAGGAAATATTCAAAAGCAGCGGTTCTCAACCTGTGGGTTGCGACCCCTTTGGGGATCGAACGACCCTTTCACAGGGGTCGCCTCAGACCATCGGAAAACACATATATAATTATATTGTTTTTGTGATTAATCACTATGCTTTAATGATGTTCAATTTGTAACAATGAAATTGGGGGTCACCACAACATGAGGAACTGTATTAAAGGGTCACGGCATTAGGAAGGTTGAGAACCACTGTTCAAAAGGAAGATGGGCTACACATGGGCCCTTCCATTTCAGAGCTTTTGATTTCATACGAGCTAAGACAGCACACACACTAACTGCAATGCAAAGCAGAGAAAGCGGTCCCACAAGCAGTGCAAACACAGTGTCCCCTAAACAATTATCAGACAGCAAAGACCCTGCTGGCCGGGTGCAGGGGGCAGTGCTTCCCACAGAAGGCAGGATGAGAGTAGGGCCCGGAAAGAAGGCAGGCTTTCTAGATGCGAGTCAGGTGGTGAACATGAGTGTGGAGGTAGAAAAATGCAAGTTGAGGTCACTTATCCAAAGGCTCACACTTGACCACCAGATTAAAAATGTAGCGTAGGGACACGGAACAAACTCTCCCAGAATAAAGGTTACTAAGAAATCTCATGTGCTAGACTTGAAAGAAACAGAATAAATTCTTCTTTGTAGCAAATGATTCAACTGGGATTCTGCCTAAATGCAAGGACTGTCCCTGCCCAGTTGGCCTTTGAAGATTCCTCCCTGGGAACCGGGAACGCCAACAAAATCAACCTGCTTTTCCCCATGGAGGATTCTCAAGCCTTATTTTCTGTTGTTTGTTTGGTGTTTTATTGAGATTGAAAGCTTTCACAGTTGGGACTGGATATTTGTCCAAGTTTGGACAACCCCAAGGACATCAAGGACTGTTGCTACTTTCAATAAATACATAGTCCACACATCAAACTTTTTAAAAAGGACAAGAACTCATAAGCCTCCCAATCAGCTCACTCCCAGTGAATCTCTTCATTCAAAACATCACAGCATGATGCACTCACTGGTTGCCATGTCTGCTATCAGGACAACCACGGAACTGGGTGGAATCGAGCTGCTGGGGGGACTACTGGCAACAAGTGTCCAAAAAGCAGGAAGAGGATGACCCAGAAGTTGCCAATAAACCAAACAAGAAGGCACACAGTGACAATGACATTTTGGTTTTTTAACAGACTAAGAACAGCACACATGCTTAGGTAACTGTTCCCAGAGCTGCCAGTTTTTCAAATATTCATAATTTAGTAAAAAAGAAATGTACACAAGACCAGCTTTCCTCGTGAATGCCCGAAACCCTATCTCGCACATAGCTTACAGGAATAAGTCTCAAACCCATGAGTCCTTTCGTTTTAAAGCTACGGAATTTCAGGCGGCGCCATTTCCACCTTTGCTGTGTATGGAGCACGCATGGCTGAGAAGGCCTAGAACGTGATGCTGAGGAGCAGTAGCTGGAAGCAGTTCAGTTCTATTTAGGAAATCTCTGCTGAGCCCCTACTCTGTGCCAAGCCTGCTGCCTGCTGGGGACACACAGCAGAGGACAGGTTAACGCCATCCAGGACCCCAAGGAAACAGTTACTTAAATCGACATTGCTAAACGAGCCCATACAACGTCAGAAAAGAAAGCATGTCATTTTCCCCATCTTCTTCCTGGCAGAATTTGCACGTGGCTCACCATGTCTGCAGGTTCTAAGTTGCAATCCTTTTCTTTTTCCTGAATAAATCTCTTTTGGTGATGAAAAAGGAAAAGAAAAGAAACGATGTCAAATTTTTACTTACAGTTCCAGCCCAAACTTCCGGCGATGTCCCCGCCAGTTTATAGTAGACATGGACATGGTCTCCTTTTTTAAAATTCACAAAACGACAATCTGGGCCGGTAAAGTCTTCCATAGCCTCAGCCCGGTACATCAACACTGTATGTAAAGAGAGAAAAGAAATAACCAGAGATCACCATTCGACTTGCACAGCCCATATTGACTGATCAGGAAATACAGGAACCCACTGCAAACAACTTTCTCCGGTACTATCTGCAGTCGATCACTTTCAAGTTACATGCTCCAAGCATCTAAAATCTTTAGAGCTTTATCGTGATAAATCAGGACATCGCCTGCAAGGGTAGACAGGGCAGACAGAAACTCTCACTGGTTTTCTTTATGGAAAATGCTGAGAAACAAAAACCAATGTGTCCACCACCACCAAAGGCTGGTCTCAAATAAAACTCTTGGTCCCCTCTCTAACTTGCAAATCCTCGATCTCTGCTGTTTCATAATCATAAAAAAGCTTCATTTTGCAATGGTAAATTCAAGGGCAGATGCTGACTCGCTTAAGCATGGCTGTATGCAGAGGTAGTAGCCACTGGGGAGAGCACCCAGGAACCCCCAGGGGGTCAATTAACTTGAACTAACCACGAAAAGGCACTATTTTTAAGTGGCTCTAACTGGTACCACCCAGCAGTAAACACTGTCAGTTTCATTTGTGGCCAAGTTGTTCTTTCCTTATAATATCTACGAAAATCAACGGGCAAGGATGTCACACCCTATGTGACAGATCCAATCACATTACAAGGTAATGTTTCCTGAAGGTAAAGAATGTTTACTGGAGCCAACATTAAGAAGGTTTCAGAACCAAGTTAAAATAGCTTTATTTACCTGTTGCTATGAACAAAACCAAAAGTGGACATCACCTGTGGCAGGGATTAAGCAAAACTTGTGAATACTGTTCAGTAGTTACCTTCAGTCTTAAAATGCAGGACTTAAATCACATCCGATCTAGAAACTGGTGGAAGTATTTTTCTTTTTGTTGGCCAAATACACAGTTTCGCATATAAGACGAAATGGACAATAAATGCAATTAAGTAGCAGAAAAAAAGGAGGATGAAATGGAAGTAATACTTTTCCACAAGGCAATTAGCAATAAATACATGAAAACGTATCTTTTCATGAGGGACAAACATAAAGGGGGTTATGTGGATTTTGAAGCTAAAAATCTCATTATTTTAATGCATGCCATCAACCTAATTCAGATATAATTGGGTGAGAGGCCAGACAGAAGGTGACAGGCAATTTAAGACTGGGGACTCTATGACAATTGGAAATAGCAATGTTTCTCTCGGTCCGGTCCCCTCAACAGATCATTGAGGATTTCTCATCGTAATGGGATGACACCATAACGCAGGCTGTAGAACAGCTATCTGAAAGCTCATGCGTACAACACGGCCCCTACCCTGCCTCAGCTGCTTCCTGCTGTGCTTGGGTGACATCTGGTTGGACACATGCCATGTGACCACTTACGGGCCCTTCCAATACCTGGTCTCCTACTGAGGAAGCATCGCCATGTGATTCTCCAGGCAATGGGTTTTGAGGAACTCAGGTGGGATTGCTCTTGGAAGCACTGGAGAGAGGCTGTTCGCCACAGCCAGCCCGTCTTGCTAATAACCCGGCTTTGCTCCGAGAGAAAACTACAGGAAAAACCGTGAAGCTGCGCCGCGTTTGTAGCGTTTATTTACATGGGCCCCAGGGTTACCTCCAGAAATGGCGCTCCAGGGATACAAACTCCAAATGATGAAACTGGTTTTTGAATAACGCCACTCTGCATAGAAGCAGCTAAACTGTAGGCCGATGGCCTTTCCAGAAAGATCGTTTTCTATACCTTCTGATTACTATTTAGGAACCGCCTTTTTGGAAGCGGTTATTAGTAAGTTAAGGCTATTTGAGACCGGCTGGGAGACTGCAAGACTGATCTTGGTTCAGCAAACGCGTAAGCCTCGGAGATCCCAACAACGCAAGGGGCTAAGGCTAAAGCTGGCTGGGTTTATGCAACCCTCGGAGTAGTGAATATAGTATCACTGTCACTGTAATAGTCCTCGCCATCGGAGAATGAAGATCTCTACCCATCGCACCCTTCCCCCGCCCCCACCAATCTGAGGCAGGGGAACAGTTCCGCTTCCTGCACAAAGACGAGGAGGCTGTGGGGTCCCAGGTGGCCGAGGCAGATCCTCCGACACTTTCAGAGCCAAAGACTGTGGCCTTGCCGGCGCCCTCCCCGCCCGGCTGCCGGCAAGACTTCAAGCACCGAAATGACAGGACAGAGCCAGAGCGGGATGGAGACCCTGGAATGCGCCGCATGCCTGGACTCTGAGGCTGTCCCAACCCCAAAACTCCAGTATCCGTCCAAAAGGCGGCATGCGCCCCAATCCGAGCGAAGCAGAAGGGCCAAGGGGCAGCGCCCTTCCCGAAACCTATCATCAACGTGGAGCAGGGCATCCGCCCCGCGAGCCCGGAGCGCATCTGCCCGCGGACAGCACCCACCGGGTCCC